CAGATGACCTAAACATCAGGAATCCAGACTTGGTACCATGTACATCCGTGATGTGGTGAAAACTTGTATGACTTGGGCCACAAGAATAAGCTTCTGCTTTAGCAATAATGAAGCTGGATGACAGGGAGGAGACCATGCTGGATATGGTGAAGAAGCTCCGAGCATATGCAGATGCTGCGCATGGCCCCACACATGCAAGAATCTCAGCTGTGGAATCACATCTGCAGAAATTAGAAGACAAGATAGAGGAGAATGCATATTCCTGAATATAGCCAGATCATGAGCCCTCTCCACCTGATAACCCACAAACAGAACACTTTCCAGTGGGGTTAGAGGTGTCAAAGACAGACTTAGATTGGCAACACAAGGGAGAGTTGTTCCTAGGTCTATGGGCCCATGATGCCTCAGGCCATCAGGGTAGAGATACCACCTATAAGTGGGCACGAGACTGAGGGGTGGATCTAACCATGGACAGTATTTCCCAGGTTACCCATGACTGTGAGATGTGTGCCACGATCAAGCAGGCCAAGCGGTTGAAGCCGCTATGGTATGGTGGGCATTGGTCCAAATATAGATATGGGGAAGCCTGGCAGATTGACTACATCACACTGCCCCAAACCCGCCAAGGCAAGCGCTACGTGCTCACGATGGTAGAAGCCACCACTGGATGGTTGGAGACCTACCCTGTGCCTCATGCTGCTGCCTGGAACACCATCCTGGGACTTGAAAAGCAGGTCCTTTGGAGGCATGGCACCCCTGAGAGGATTGAGTCAGACAATGGGACTCATTTCAAGAACAGTCTTATAAACACCTGGGCTAGGGAACATGGCATTGAGTGGGTGTACCATATCCCTTATCATGCACCAGCTGCTGGGAAAGTGGAGAGGTACAATGGACTGTTAAAAACCACCTTGAAAGTACTGGGTCAAGGATCTTTCAAAAACTGGGAGCAGTATCTAGCAAAGGCCACCTGGTTAGTTAACACCTGAGGTTCCACCAACCAAGCAGGCCCTGCCCAATCCGAGCCCCTGCATACAGCAGATGGAGACAAAGCCCCAGTGGTACATGTCAGAGGTTTGCTAGGGAAGATGGTTTGGATCAATTCTACTTCAAGCACAGACAAATCCATTTGTGGCATTGTCTTTGCTCAAGGACCAGGTTGTAGATGGTGGATAATGCAGAAAGATGGAACAACACAATGTGTACCCCAGGGAGATCTGATTGTTGGGTGAGAAGCATGAGTAAATATCACTGTTTGCTGAATATCATTGTCCTTCTCTGTGTATATGCATATATATGTGTATGTGTGATGTATGTGTTTGTAGAGTTAGAATATATATTAGTTTTGGTAATAAGTTGATGATACGGGGATAAGGGGTGGAATGTCCTGGGGTGATTTTATGATGCTTGTATTCCCAATCACCTTGTTTATGTTACATATTAAGTTCTGCACCTTTAAGACTGGCTCTGAGACCAAGGAAGGGGGGAAGAAGAAGCCGCAGTTTGTGTTGAGGAAGAGCCCTCACTGCCCCACATCCTGCTCCTGACTGTGGTGTCTGCAGCACGGACAGACTGCAGCACAGAGCTCTCCTTTGCTTTTAGTTAGTTTTTAGCTAGCTGAGGCAAAGTTCTCTTGTCTGTTTTTTCCCCTTTTTCTTGGATCTGTTCAAACTTGCTCTGGACTGAAAACCCAGACAAACCCCAGGAGCTCACACTTGTGGCCCACTGGAGCCTGGGCCTCGGCACTTTCCAGTGCCAGAGGGACAGATAAGAACCTGAGTGAGTCACTAGTGTGAGCTACACCACATGAAAAGGACTTTTTCTAGGTTTGCCATCTCATTGATCAGTGAGAGGTTTTATTGTAAGGTCATTGCAGATGGTTAGAGCTCACAGCTCCTTTTCATTTTGCAGGTAAAATGACCTCTTTATTTAAAATTTTCCATCAATTTTACTGATTAGTTTGAAATCTGTCTAGAACCTGGTGTGTCACCTCTCCTAGTTCCTGACTGGCACTCTAATAGTGGGTGGCAAAGCAGCAGTTTGCAAGTGTCAACAATAAACCCACTGGAAGTGGTAATCCTCTGCCTGTCAGAGTGTTTAACATCCATCTCAACCATCCTTTGTCTGCAGGAATTGTTAATCATGCAGAATTGAAAACTGGCACTCAAATGGCATAGTTCCTACAGTTGGATAACAGCCTAGGAGGCAGCCAGGAGCTAAAGTTTCATCAGGAGCTATTTTAACATTCGTTTGTCTACAGGAACAACAGGCTTAGTAAACAACTGGACTGTTACCAGAGCCCTCTGCCAGATGGCTCATGGCTGAAGTTAATGTTTTACAGAGAATCAGCCACACACCTTCCCAGTGCAGGCAGCAGTGAGCTTAACCAGAGCCACAATTCCCCAGTGGCCTTTTTACAGAAGTTTTACTTCATTGATTACAATTTCAGTTCAGCAGTTTAGGAGGAAAGATGATGATTTCTAGGACAAAGGCTGCACGTTCTACTTCTAACATCAGCACATCAAATGTAAATCCTGATGAAGCTGAAGGCTGCTCACAACCTTTTTTCAGTACACATCTCTAGAGCCTAGACTTCAAAACATACAGCTGCTGAGGGCTAGTGAGATTTAGATATTCTGGACTCGTTCATCTAAGCTACAGAGATGAATAGGACTCATGAGTGGGACATCTAACTCATTTCATCACCAACAGAATGAGGGTTCTGCATTCCAACAGCTATTCCTTTTGAAGACCTTGTTAAAATTGACAACTACTACAAGGCTAAAACAGGCAGGTTTTGGATCCTTGACAGGTTGCCAGCTCAACTTCTCTATGTGCAGCTTTTAGTTTTTGGCTATTACTACAACAGCCTGAAGGATTTTTAAGGCAAGATCTGGCAGTGTTTGCTCATTGCTCCTGCTTTTATTAACAAATTGAGAGGAATGACAGATTTGTCTTTACAAACAAGTTGTGGATCTGCTGATAGATGAAACTAGCACTGTGATATAAAAGAAAAAATGGGATGGATTCCACTGATTGGTGAATGGAAAAAAGATATTTGCCTTTACAGACTAACTGTAGGTTTGTACAGACTAACTGTAGGTTTGATGATAAATGAAATTTGGTATTGAAAGATGAGACAATGGGGAAACACCATCAATTTCATAAGAAATAAAAATTAAGAGGGAGGGTTATACATTAGAGGGGAATCTCAGGTATCAGGCATTCTGGGAAATCTGTACCTCTCAAGTACCTCAGCCTATGGGGAAAGAGAGAGGGACATGCAGCTGGGAAATTAGGATAAAAAGGAGGCTGCGCCCTCCAAAAATCAAGAGACCCCAAGGGAATGCCCCATGGCCTCTCCCTTTATTTGAATAAAGTAAAAGGACTCCTCTGTCTCCTTTTTGGACATGAACCTCTGGTGTTTGTGGATTAATTTTCCTGACAAAACCCAGTAACAGTCAGCAGATAGGTAACAAGTGCACCCTGATGACAAGTGAATAATGAGGAAAAAAATGTGACTTTTTAAGCATTTTATAATGTATTTCATTGAAAAAAATGTGACTTTTTAAGCATTTTATAATGTATTTCATTTTAACAGGTAAATAATATTTTAAGATCTGTTGGTTTGGTGAAATAAATCCTGAGTCAGAAAGTGGGGTAGGTGCTGAGCAGTTAAACCTTAATTTGTATTCGAAAAGCAATAGACCATGTTTTTGTTAGGGCTGTTGCACAAAACAGCAATTTTTTGCATGTTATTTTCCTTGCAAAAGCAGAGCACTGGTTTCATTCTGTCGTCCACAACCGCTGAAGTCACCAAGGGATATTGTACATTTCACCTGAGCCCTTCTTGTTAGCTCTAAATACTCCCCACATTACTTTGATGTAAACCAAGATATAGCCTGTTTCTACAGTACTCCAGGGTATAATTGCACTTCCTATACTTAAGACAATGACATATTCAGGACTTCCTGGTATGGTTACTATTTATATTTTCTTCTCACAGCATCACTTATTACCCAGTTCACTTTACAGATCCTTTGGGCATGTATGTATCACATAATGAACACCTGTAAAAATCCCCAAGACAAATCAGTGTCAGAACTGAAAGATGTTTAGCTACCTCAGTACCCCAAGGTATAAACTCTAATTAGCACCTACAGCACTGCCAGGACCAAATTCTGCTTAGTACCCCTGCACGATACTCTACTGCCCAACACAGACCCAGCAGCCTGCTTGGAGGTAAAGCTGGGATTGCTAAACCTCATCATTGGCTTCTCTAATTAAACAAGGTATCTGCAGAACCTCCCCTCTTCTGCAAAATACAGCCTCGGGACGGATGCATAGATAAAGTATTTAGTTCTGGCTGTTGAGTGCTCTACATATAGGGAAAATAATACACTCCTGCACCATATGTTAAAAAAAATATATAATAAAAAATTTGGTCTGAAATGTTACCTATGGAATATTTAATACTAGTGAACAATTTAAAAACAAAAACAATGACATTCTTCCACCTCCTACCTGAGGTGAATCAATGCAGGAGCTTGGTGTTGAGAATAAGCTGTTTAAGTTTCTTTTTATCCTTTTTGAACTTTGGCTGACATTAAATTTCACTACTTCCTGCATGCAGTTTATTTTGTTTAACAGCTGCTTTCAGAACATGAAGACCTTAAGCTCTCAAGAATTCTAAAAAAACAGTTGGGGGACAACATTTTTGGTTTCTTCCCCTCAAATAAACAATTTATTCAATAAATGACAGTGCCAAATTTCATAACATCTTTGAAACATCCCATGTCCTTTAAATTTAAATACAGTATACAAAGGACAAACTAAATTGTTTCAATGGATTTGATTTCTAAAAACATTCCATGATTTTCTAAATTAAAAGAGAAGTTTTATAAAAGCTCATATAACATTGTAGAGATTAAATAAAAGGAAGGAACCCTTCTTCTAAATGAGGGCTTTTCACTGATTCTCAGTGCCTTTGTCATGTAACTTACCTGCTTTGTGCCACTGGTTCTGGGTCTGTGAAAAAAATTAAAACAGGTTGAAAACTTGCTATTTGTGAAGCACTGTGGGAACTGAACACAGCTATGAATATTGCTGTCGTTCACTACATTGCTGTTAGTAGGGATATATCCTATTTATTTCTAGGCATCTATACAGCTGTCATGGGGTGACTTTGTATCCCCAATCACCTTGTTTATGTCACATATTAAATTCTACACTTTTAAGACTGGTTCTGAAAGCAAAGGGAGGGAAGAAGAAGCTGCAGTTTGTGTTGAAAGAGCCCTCACTGCCCCACATCCCGCTCCTGACTGTGGTGTCTGCAGCATGGACAGACTGCAGCACAGAGCTCTCCTTTGCTTTTAGTTTTAGTTTTTAGCTAGCTGAGGCAGAGAAGTTCCCTGGACTGTTTTTTTTCCTTCTTTCCTTGGATCTGTTCAAACCTGCTCTGGACTGAACACCCAGACAAACCCCAGGAGCTCATAGCTGTGGCCCACAGGGGCCTGGGCCTCGGCACTTTCCAGTGCCAGAGGGACTGATAAGAAACACCCCAAGAAAAGGACTTTTTCTGGATTTGCCATCTCATTGACCAGTGAGAGGCTTTATTGTTTAATATTATTCAATTTCTGTTAAATAAACAGTTCTTTTCCACTTTTGTCCAAGGAAAACTTTTCCTAAACCAGTTGAGGGAGGGGCCACTTTAATTTGTTTTCTGGAGGGACCCCATTCGGAGATTTTCTCCCAAATTTGCCCTAAACCAGGACAACAGCACATCTTAGCATCAGTATCAAGAGAAGTGGGTGAAAATTCTACTACAACTTTAAAAATAATTACATGAAATATCATTAAAATCACTGGAACTAGAAATCTCCTTTTAAGAGAGCCTTGTCTTAGAGAGAATACAGCTGGTGACAAGAAGCTTGGACTAACAAGGCCTGAGCCTTTCATGGCTTTGCCATGGCCAACCTGAGCAAACTCTGACAAAACCAATGTCAATGTGCTGAGTGAGGAAAGCAGGGAGTACTGCTCTTCCTCTCTTAGGTTTCAAATATGAGCACTCACCCCTCAGTGAATTATTTTCTCAGATCTTCGGGCTGCAGAAGCCCATTTTACACCACAGACAGTGCAACAGTAACAAGTAACAGTCTTAAGTTCACAGACAATGCATGAAGCAAAACTCAGAATAGTAGATTCTTTGTTACCTCATGGCACATTTTTTTGTTTGAATTGACAAAAAACCCTCAGGGTTTATGTTACTCAGTACTGGAATTCAACATAGAACCCACACCGCTTATTTTTAAAGCAAAACTAGACACTCAAGATTAAAAGAAAAATGAACAAGTCACTGAGTGATTTTCCCTGCCAGCTGAGCATTTTGCAACTCACAAAATTTTGAGAGAACCTTCCATTCAGGGGTTCTTAATTTATGAGTAAGGAAATTTCCTAAGTCTCTTTTTTAAATCTCTCTCTAATTTAAAGGTATTTTTTAGCATTCTAAACATTCTTCCTCTTCTGACTTCCCTTTTTATTTTAAAATAAGATGAAACATTTGCTATGTTAATGCTAGATTTTTTTTTTCCCCAGAACAGCAGAAATATGACTGCAAGAGCACTGGGACTAGATCCATTTCTGCTCTCCTGTCTTCACAATAAATAATTTACTCCAGAAATAGCTGAAAACCTGTCTCTTGGAAGACAGTTGTGATGACTGGGGAAAGATGACAACTTTCAGGACATTATGGGGTCCTTAATTTCTTTTATATGTGGGCATAGGAAGCAGTCACTGAGTACAGAACACATAACCAAGATGAGATTTTCAAGAAGATCCCAAAGAAGCCCTCAGCTGTTATCAAGAGTCAATAGGCATAATTAGACATGGGCTTTTATTAAGTGGAAGAGAAAAATAGGAATAACAAACCTAGAACTACACTTTTACCTGTCCCTATCACAGGCTGTGATAGAGTGCAAGAACATAACAAGATGAAACAGTTTTGATGAAGAGAAGCAGGATGGGGGTAAAATAGGAGGCAGAGTCCTATGGGTCTTGTTCATTCCCTAAATATTCCCTCTGAAACCAGAACTATGTCAGGAATCTCAACTTTCAAAAACAAAGTTTTTTTTCCAACTTAAAAATGGCCTGATGGACTAAATTCAAAATAAGGGAAAAAAAGAATATCCTGGAGTGCATCTTTTGATGCCAAGTGTTTGCCTGGAACAAATTTTTGTGGTTGCATATTAATCCCCTCAAAACAGCCTAGAAATGTTGACAACTGCAACAGTTATTCATAATGGTCTATTAGTCCTTTACTTCCACAAAATATAAAATCTTATATTTAATTATCCAGGCCTAATTATTACACAGAAAAAAATTTCACTGACCAACTGACCACTGAACAAAAACCCATTAATTTTGACCAACTAAACAAAACTCCATTAATTTTCAAGACAAAGATCCAGTATCTGTCTGTAACACCAATATGGGCACTCTGACCTCAGAATCCCAAGCTCTTCATATGCAAACCCACATAGTGGTCCTTGTCCTAGTCCAGGACTTCAGGACTGGGTGAAAACCTTTTGGGTTTAGGGACACTGGTGGCACAGAGATCTTGTTACACTGGGCAGCAGCTGCTCCCAGTGAAAAGGGGGTCTCACTGCAGCATTTCTGCCTTTGAAAACCTGCATGTGATCTAATCTGCACACTGCCTTTACAGGGGTTGCCTACATCTCCCATGGAAGTTTGGGATGGATGAACTAGACAAAAACACTGCTGAAAAAAAGGGTTCAGCAGAATAAAGGATGCAAAGACACTGCATGCTTTCAATTTAAAAACCCAAAGTAAATCACTTTTAGCCTTTTCCTGGTGGTCAGGTGACATCTGATTACCAGCAGGGAATTCTCCAAGGTTGCTGACAGTTTCCTTAAGAATAGCTGATTCAGAGTTCCCTTTTAGATGAGGTTTTGGTGTACATCACTTGAACCACTTTAACATTTGCAACTTATGCACTATGTTGCCACTTGACCACACTGCCTGGTAAAACACAGTATTTCTTATCATACGTGGCCTAAGCTTGGAAATGGGCAGTGCTAAAGCTACCAGGCCAAGAAGTTTAATAAAACAGTGTGGAGGGCCAGGAGTCTTTTGTTCCTTATTACTGACCCAAAGGAGCAGGGACCAGAGCTTGCAGGGAGGAGCTGCTTCAGTGTCCATTAGTCATGGGACAGGAATTTATGGGCTACAGATTGAGTTGATCTGAGAAAGCAGAAGGCTGGAGCAAGGATACATCAAAAGCAGATTTTAACTGGAAACCAATTGGGATGCTAATAGAGAGTTTCACCAAACCAAATGAAAAGCTTTCAGCATAAACCAAATAATGATATGTTATTGGGGATTCTTTCTGAACACAATATTTTAGATGTTATAATTCTTAATTGTAGAGTGCAATAGAACACACAATATTTTAACTTGTTTTTGCTAACACAGAGCAGTTGGGGTAAAACAAAACCATACTAAAAATTAAGGAGCCCTCTCTTGATGAAATGGTAACTAAACTTTCCACAGAGGAATTTACCACAGTAGAGTGCAATGGAAATCTGAAACATCTGGAGGAATGCATGTTACTGTTTTTTTCTTCTTTTCCATTGCTATTTTAATACCACTAATATTTTATAATATCATGAAAGATACTTAGTATTTTCTTTTTCACTATGGTGAAGATTTCAAAATCTTTGTAGCTTTTTTGTCTCATTTGATTAATTTTTTTAGTATCAAAGGTCCACAGAACAAAAACTTTTGCAACAGGGTTTCTGTTGACAAACAGGCTGACAATGATGACAGGATCTGTGAAGGGAGAAATCATATTAACAGAGAATTTTAGAAAACAAATTAAAATTAGGAAGATTGTCAAGGAATACTGATTCTAAAAAAACGGCATTACTCTGATTCACAATCCTAAATTCAGAATGATTAAAAGCCCTTGGATTCAGCTATTCCAACAATGACAATTTATTCACAGAAATCATCTTAAAGTGTTAGGGATGTCTCAGTTAAACGTTCTCTCCTGTAGTATTAAGTGGTAAAAATGAAAAAAACTTGGACAGACTAACATCAGACAAATTCTTTACTATTCAGAGAGATGTACTTTGGGAAAAATGTTCTGAATTTCACTTGTTCATAATTAACTGCTCGGGTGGCTAATTGCTGACAGTTCTGTTAAAATCTCTGTTCATTGGGCTGATGAGGTTAGAAAGGTTAACACTCATGTGGAAAAGAAAATAATTACAATATTAAAAGGATATTTGAAAGGGAAAGGGATACTTCATTTGTAGCTGGGCCTTCAGTTCTGGTGGGCAACTGGGCAAAAGCAAAGCTGAGGAGAAAGACTGGTGAGGGAATTAGAAAAAGTAAAGACTTCTCTTTAAACAAGTCCCCTGGATGAAAGGAACTTAAGTGCAGGAAAGATACTCAGGAATTTATTTTTAGCTACTCTAGAAGAAAAATGAAACAGTAAGGAGCTAGAAAACAAAAAATTTAAAATGGATAAAAATTTGGATAAAACAGGAATCCATGAAACTTCCTGCAGCAGATAAAATAGAGGCTAATATTTTGTCAGATAAAAATTAAAACCAGTTATGAGATGATCAGGAAGCTAAACACCATGGGAATTCTTCACAGCAGTTTTTTAGCCCTTTGTTCTGCCCTTTTTACCCCTCTAAAGAAACAAAATCAAACCAGAGACTCAAAGAGAATATAGTACCATGCTTCAGGAAAGAAGATCAATAATTAAAAAGAAATCTAAAACATGGGCAGGTTATGACAGAATTGTACTTTATAGATTTGGGATATTCTGTTTGAAACATCCAGCTCTGGCTATAGAGTCAGACTTCTGGACTACATTTGTCTGAGCTAACATGGCAAGTTTATCTTTTGCCTTTATATTGTGTGTATGTTACTTTTGTGTTTCCTTATCTGTTAGAGACAGTCTCTACATATAGCTATAGCTTCCTGTATTTATGGAATGTCTGCAAAAACCACTCGTTTTCTGGGCAGGGAAAACTGACCACAAGTGCTGAATGTTCAGAGGTTTTCTCAAAAAATCATCTGATGATTAAAAACAGGCTTTGGGAATAGAACTCTCTCTCTCTTCCATCTCCAAGAGCAGTGTGCTGATTTAAATGCATGCATTTTAAGAAGAAGATGAGTGGGATGAGAGTTGTTTTGGTTTTTTACTATTTGTTTGGGATTTTTGTTTGTTTGTTTTAATAAAGGAAAAGTAGAGGAGCTTTTTTCCCCCTAGTAGCAAGAACTTAAATTGTGTCAACTTTGAACTTTTCAAGTTCTGTTTCAGTTGTGTTTGGATCTCAGCTGGGCATGTTCTCCCACTGTGCACACACATACAAAGAATCTGCAGCATTTTCTGTGGAGTAAGAGAAACAGCAAGCAAAAACTCAAACACCCACACTTTGCCCAAAATGCTAACTCTTGCACCATTCTTGGAAAAAGAACCAGCACACTGGTTTGGGTCTCTCCCTTTCTTACAGTCTCTGACTAAAAAAGTAAGAAATAAGTGAAATGGGGAACAGCATTTGCTAGAACCACAGTGCAACACTCTCAGCAGAAAAAAAGAGGAGCACCAGTGCTGCAATAATTCCCAGCCAGTGGAAAGATATTCCCTTGAAAACAGGGTGAGCTGGTATTCACCACAGCAAGCTCTAGCAAGGCAATGCTCTCAGCCTACAAGTGAGGAGCTGAGATGCAGAAAAGTAAAAGTAAAGCCACTTACCTACTGTAGAAAATCTCCTGAGAGATGGGACTTACACTCAGGTCTCCTAAATAAGAAAACAGTGAAGCAGATGCTCAAACATCTCTTCTGGAAGTCCTTTTTACTCCTTACCTTGCTTTCATGACTCTTATTTAGTTGAAGACTTTACCGAGATACAGAAAAACATAATGTAATATTGAAAAACTTATAATTCCTTTTTCCTTTGCACTTTTCTTTTATGCAGTAGCAAAAAAAAACCCAACACAAAAACAAAAAACCAAAAACCAAAAAGAAGGAAAAAGGCAAGAAGCCATTTTACTTTGTGAGAACTTGATAGTACAAAGCTCAGTTGTAGGATGAATTCTGGTAAGATTGTGAGTCCACCAGCTTTGTTTCCTCATTACAGCTGATCACATAACAAATCTCAGCTGTATACTCCCCCCATATTCCTTTCTCATTGCAATGAAGATGTAGATTCAACTCTCTGAAGAGCCACAGGGAACATCACTAAGAACTAACTTTATAGGGACAAACCCTCCCTCCTTCTCCTCTTTCTCAGAGTTTGCACATCTGAAACAGAGCTAAGAGTTGGCACTTGCCATTTGGCAATTCATGTGCCATACAACTTAACCTGGGAAGTCAAAACCATGTTCAAATGAAACTGCAGAGAAATTTTAGGTTGAATATAGTTACTCACAATGGACTTCAGCTAGGAAGTCCATTATCAGCACTTGCAAAAATTAATAGCTAGTTTATGATATAATATATATATAATATAATTATAATATGTGTCTATTTATGTAATATATTATATATATTATATATGTATATATACTATATATGCTATGTATTGGACAAGACGTGAAACGTCTCTTAGATCCTTCAGTAATGACACGGAATGTCACAAGGAAGACAAGAGACTTTTGGCTTCACATTTGCTATTGATTCCATTTTCAAACCACTGATATTTCTGTCTTTTTGTCTTAAAAACCAGAAAAACATTAAAGGTGGAAGTGGTGCAGCATAATCAACAACAGAATCAGCAGCAGCAGTAAAAACTCTGGAGTTCAAGCAGTCCAATGCTGCTTCAATTGCTCGAAAGCAGAAGAGAGCTTTAGTACATGGCTCTTACCCTGAGGGAAAAGTAACTTGTGTAGGGCCCTCCTGCTAGGATGGTCCCATATACCCTTTAACAGTCTTGCAAAAAAGATTGCAGAAGACAAAAGTATAATTTGTTAGAAGCTAGGGTGAAATCAAATGACTACAAAGGGGGAGTGGATTTAAAAAAAAAATAATTTAGAATGGATCCTTCTGTTTTTCAAGTACCACTTTTTAAAAAGTCAGCTTTACTAAGCTCCAGATACTGCTCCCTTAGCAGACTGCCTGTGGAGACATTCACTAACCAAGGGCATTTTGGAGCAGCTGGTTTCCTTCAATACTTGAATGTAAGAAGTTGGTGTTTCTCTCTCCCATTCCCACTGTGACTCTTTGAGTTTGTCTCAAGTGCCTTAGCCAACTTAATTAGTCCAGCCAGGCCAGACTCATTTCTCTGGCACCAGCATTTAGCAGCTCTGGTCAGCAGACAGATTTCTGGGGGAAGGTTTCATGTGGCTTAATTTTGAAATACTGAGAGAGAGGGAAATTTAAAAATAAAATAACTAGAACACAGGAAAGCAAGGCTGTGGAGGTGGTGCCATCCATCCACCTGAGAAGGCAGAGTGACCTGAACCCATCCCACTTTGCTGGAGCTGATGTGGCAATGGTCAGCAGTAAGGGCTGTGTTTTCTGCAAGAACAACCTGCAGATTTCCTCTCCAATACTGTTCCATAACTGTTGTTTCTTTCCACATCTCCAACAGTTATGCAACAGTATTCTTGGATCACATCACGCCAGGAGATGCAATGCTGTTTTTTCAAAGGGCAAGAATCCAATACGATAATCATACATCTGCAAAAGCCAGCAATTAATTACATTAATTTTATTTCCCGTTTATAATTATGTGAAAAGATGAGAGAGAACACATTCTGAAGGTCATGGATACTCCACAATGGCCTTGCTATTTTACATGGAATATGTTCACCTTCTGCAGTGATGGGGAGCAGCACAGGCCTCTAATAACACCTTCTAGCCTTCATTCTTACTAACTTTTCTTTTTTTAAATACAGGTATTCTTTCACATACTTGTGCTTTTGGAAAGCATAAGAATAAGATAATTTTATCTTTAAAATGATAGGTCTTCACAATGGGAGGACATTAAAATAATGAATGATTATTCTTCTGGAACAATCATCAAGGGTAAGAAGAGAAACCCAGGAAAGAAGCACCAATAAAGTTGTCCTAGGAAATCAAGTATAGGATACATTTGAGGTGATAAATTTTTGAGAAATTTAGATTAGATTATTCCCAAAGGAAAACTGTCAGGTGAACAGAGTTTTTCATAATTAGATTATCTTATAATAAGTTCCTGATAGAAGAAACCAGTTCTGTAACACAACTAGCAATGAAAAGACAAGAATAACCCTCCCATCTGTGAACCAGACAGGTTCCACTGTCTGTCTTGCACTGTCTTGCAATACAAACCTGTTTCCTTTTGGTTGATCTGGGGGTATGCCATGTTTTCAAGCACTACAATTCATTTATTGAAATATCACTGGGAATTTGTGACAAATAGCTATTAGCAACTGACAGTTTGAGTAATACAATATACAAAATCACAATATGTTAAAAACCCAATCAGAACCTTTCTCTTCACCAAATGTTCACAAAATTCTCTTTTGGGATTCAGAGATTTTTATGCCATACTGTTGTTGTGTTTAATGACAAACTTAGGCAGAATTAAATTGGAAGATTTCTGATCGTATTTGGGATATGGAAGTACAGTGCAGAGCAAAGACAATGAGGAATTTTGCTTTGATGTTGACTGCAGCACTGTCACCCACTGGGAGACATTACAAATAAGTCAAGCAGAAGGAATATGACAGATAAAGGACACAATAATAGAGAACTTTGCTAATAACATGAAAGCACTTGGAGACCTCCAAGCATGGGTATCTCTATAAAATAAAAGGGTATTATATTCAAAGTAGAAGCTACAAAAACTTGTATGTTTAAAATCCTGATAGAATTGTTTAAAGGTTCAAACTCTAGTGCCTTTTGGCTATGGACTGTGATACACTGTTTTATGAAAACAAAAGCCAGTTCAGATATTGGAAGTGGAAAAACTTGCATTGTCCTGAGCCACACCAGCTAATAAACCTTGTTTCTCAGCACCACTAATGTACATGGAAGAGTGCAGCCTTCCTGTGGCCCCATTGCCTCACTCTGTGTGGGTGCATTCTTTGCACAGCTCAGGCTGAATTAGGAAAGAGGGAGCAGGAGGTTTCACACCCAGATGACAGCACAAAGTGAACAGTGCCAGAGCTGGGACTTGCAGCTTGCCCCAAGAGAATCCCCTGTTTTTACTACATTGATTTCCCTCAAGCCAAACCCACACTTAGATGTCACTTTTTAACACCACTAGGTTGAATAAAATGCCTTAAGCATGAATACATGACCTAGTTAATTAACACAGAGTTTAGGACAAATAGCAAATTATAAGGCAAGCAACTTTTCCTCTAAGTATTGTGATCTAAACAGCTGTAAGTTAAATTAAACATGAGCAAAACCAAGAGAAAGACTTTGGACAAAATGCTTAACTTTCTTCCCACCCTTCTTCCTCTGCCTAAATCTAGAGTTAAGATTGTAGGGAAAATCAATCAAAAAGCTGTAAAACAGCATCTGCTGTAGAAATGTCACAGCCAAGTAAAAAAGATGTATCTTGCCTCAGGCTCTTTCTTGCTAAAGACTCTCTAGAAATCCCAGCACTTGATGCAGTGATCCAATGAGCTTCCCACAGCAGGCAGTGGGAATGACAAACATTCTTTTTGAGGCTACTGCCAGCAGTGGACCCCTCGCATAGACTATTAAAAATCCCTTAATCCCCTCCACTTAATGCTGACCTAAAGAAACAGAAGATCAAAACACGACCTCTTGAATGACCTTAGCTTGCTCTGTAACACCTCACCAAGGGTCAGGGATGTCAAAGAGTTCCCTGCAGGGCCCTGCTGCTCTCTGAGGAATGTGCTGTTTATCAGAGCTACCAGAAAGCTCCTTTAGGAATATGTAACATATACATGAGGCCTACTGACCATTTTCCTCATGAGATCTACGTGCAAAGCAGAAGACAAAATTTGTGTGTGTACAACCAAGACACTGAAACAAAATCTGTACAAATCCAGAGCTGAAAAAACAAAACACCTCAAGGTCACAGCATCAACAGACTGATTCAATGGATTGCTCCACATTTTTAAGTGGTAGATACATGAAGTAAAGCCTAGTACACAACTGCAAAGGACAAGACCACTACTCTGACACATCAGAGTAGTGAGTATGCTCTCTTCCAAATACAGATAAATTTGCAGTGAGAATTTATTTTCTAAATTTATTTCTAAATAAATTTCTAAATTCTGAAGAACAAGAAGCCAGGGAATGCTAACCTAGACCCTGGAAAACTTTCAAGGCTAGCAGAGCAACTCCTTTTTTTTTTTTAATAATCACAGTTTGATGTCAGAAGAAATTTGCAAACAGGTCATCATGTCTACTGTACTTAGGGGTTCCATTGGCAGAGTAGCAAATAACACAGTCTGCCTTCAGAAATCAACATCTGGATGAGCCAACAGAGCTCCAAAGGGAGATGCTGCTTTAACCACTGTTGCTTCTGTAGATGCTGCAAGGTTCTGCAGACTGGCTAGGTCTGCAAAGCTGAAGAGTTTGGTAAGATCAAAGTCCAGAAGAGAAAGGTGAAAACAGTTCTAAGAGCCACATCAACTAATCACAAAATTCAGCAATCTGAGATGATTTCTGTATGCTGATCATGAGCCACTGGAATAAAGATTCTTATGTTTCTTTTTCCTACCTGGTTATATGTTAGTCTGAATTTACTGAAAGTTCTAAATTATGATCACATTTGTATCCCAGCATTAATCACAAGTTACATACCAGTTTCCTAAAGAGTCAGTTACCAGTAAA